CTCTTTTGCCCTCTCCGCTTGTTCTTTAGTCGGCCTTTTTAGGTCTGCTAAATTTCCGCGCAGATTGTCTCTTTTTGCACAGGAAATTTGTATTCGAAAAAAGTCGACAGCCCTCTATTAAGACTTATACGACTTTGTCTGGAAGAATGTGCATAGCAGAATTAGTTCATGAATCACAAGTTTTTGCTCAGTTCTCCACTTTATACTCTAAATTTTTACGGTGTTCTCCAAATCTTTGTTGCTATTTTCCCTTTTGAAAATGACTATTTTTATTTTCCCACCATTTTAGAACACATAATAATTGCTTGCGAGGAGAGGGGAGGGAGTAATTTCATCTTGCGATCTTACCGAACTTACAGATTTTGTCGCCGGGCCCCTGAGATTCTGTACAGTACTTCCGGCATTTATAAGCTGTTTTAGGTACTTGGGATTTTTCAAAAATGTTTGCTAAAAAAATGCATTCTGCTTGAAAAACGCATCGCTTTTGGTTGCGTAAGTACGAGTTGTTTTTTTAAGATCAACGTTACAAAAATCCGATCTCGAGGCGATCTAAATTTACATTTTTATTCGGTTCCAGATGCCGGGAATGGTTTTGAGTTCCTGTTACCGAGATCAGCAAGATTGTCTGGACCATCGCTATGGAGCCGATACTGCTGAGATGCTGAGCGCAGCTTGAAGCATTTAGTACAAAAAGTTCTTACAGATCTCTTCATCTTCTCCAGGATTTTCATCACATCAAAATGCGAATTTTCTTACGAATTTACATTTCCAGGCATTGGATCGCCGGTCCAAAAACGGGAGAAACGGAGATTTTTGTGGACAATTTGCCCGGCTTGCCAGACAATATTCGTCCGGGTACTGGTGAGACATTTTGGGTAGCCCTTGCAGCGGTGCGCCACAGCGGCAGGTTTTCGATGTACGACTTTCTTGCCGACAAACCATCGCTTAGGAAGTGCATACTGCAGGTATTTTTACTTGTGAAATAGGCTACAGATGTCGTGTTCTTTTCCGGGCCTTCTGTTATGAACTCTTTGTTCAATTAATCCGAGAAAAATTTAGAGAAAGAGTACAATTGTATTGATTAAACTTGGTCCATCTTTTCGGCCATCTTGTCTCTCATAACTGATTCAGTTACGCGGTCAGGCATGACTGTTCTCAAAAACTTGTCCAATTTCCGAAAAACAGACCCCTTAATTCCCACTCATTTAGATCTGACGTTTATAGGTATCACATTGTTGAACCCTTTGTTTTGCTTTTCCTAACGTGTCTTTGTCTCATCATTGGCTTCAGTGATAATTCCGTTAAATTTGCCAACTCCTACGTTTTTTTGGCTGGTTTTTATATCCTCTAAACATGGGTTTTCTTGTTTTTCTCCTTCGTTTACGGGTGTTTTTGACTTCTTCATCCATAAAAGACGCCCCTCTCCAATCCTGAAATGGTGCTGTAGCATTAAATTAAAAAATTCACTTTAGCTGATCCCGGGACGTCATGGGCAGTGGTTACTGTCACGGTTCAGGGTAAAACATTCGTTGATTATACGACTGGATAAGGAAGGTCGAATAATTCAAAGCGCACACGACCCAACAGGTGAAGCGATCGAGCATGTGTCGGAAGTGACAGAAGCTGGTGATCATCTATATCTGGGCAGTTTTGTTGCGCCATATATTGCTCGCTTGCCGAAACACTTAACTGTTATGTAAGTTGTAATTAACGGATGAAAGTAATAAATAATAATAATAAGAGAATGTTTGCAAAAATCGTGATACACGAACAGAAATAAAACAAAACCATGGATGTACACGTACACTAACTCCGTAAATCACTGGTTTTATTTCGAATATATTCGAGAATGAGCGGCGCAATGTGGCCCAGTGGAGAATGACATTGAAAGCCATTGATGTTAGGCGTAATTACGAGTCAATGCTTAATTTTTTCGAAATCGAGGCTTCTTAAATTGCTTTGTTGACTAAAATGATCAACATTCTTTTGCCAGACTGAAGAATGACTGAACTCCCTCGCTTACACTGATTGCTAACAGGCCAAACATGTCTAGATTGTGCTGCTTTCCTCAGCTAAATGAGTTAACTGGACTTAATCCTCTATCCAATCCCAGGAGTGAAGGACCGACTTCCAAACAGTTCGTTCTGATGACGGATTGACACATGTGCGTAAAGACCCACTTTCACTCTGCTTTTCAAGCAGCTCCTGGAAGAGGAGACTAACCAGCTGTGTAGCTAGTCGTGTGCTATCGTAGATGAATGCCCCTGGCTTTTGCACTGAAATCCAAAACGGTTTTGAGGTTTGATAAGAAACCGAGAATTTGCAATCTGGTCACGACTGAGGCTCAATCACTGTTGGGAAACTTTGGCTTAATCAGATGATAGATGCTAACTTTCTGCCGTCTGCTACTTGTTAACTTTTTCTCCCTCCCCACAACCACTTCTCTTCCCCCTCCCCCCTGAATCCTCTTCCCGTCCTCCCTCTCTAAACGCTCCCGGCATTTTAAA